CGGGGGCCGCCTGATATTCCCGGGACCACATGAACTATTCATTTTGGTCTAGATTAATGTTTATATGGTGGTGGATAATTCATTTGAGCCATGGAATGGTCTAGAGTTGACCGATTGGTCAAAAGAGGCCCAAATACCGGTATTGGCAAATTAACCGATAAATGCCCGAAATTGAATTTCGGGGACTTGTAAATTTAAGTTGGGGAATGAATATTCATTATAAGGGTCATGATGATGGAGAACACACAAAATATTTTATTTGAACCGATAAAATAAAATATATTTAAAACAGTCCGAAAAATACAACTTTCGGGACTGATTGTACACTTTTGGGCAAAAAGGGTTGACCTCCCACATGGGTGGGGGCCAACCCACGAATGTGGACACATTTTTTCAAGACTTGGGCGGCTGGATGGAGAGGGGAAGGATGGGAGATGTTGGAGTTGAGAGGAAAGGCATCAAAGGTACACATGGGCTCCCATTTCTTTTTGTTTTGTTCACTCATTTGATCAAGACAAAGAAAATCCTCACCCACTCTCTCCCTCATCCCTGCGGCCAGCACCTCCAAGAAAGAGCCAAGCAAATTCTCCATCTTCCTTCTCCATTGTTGAAGAAAGCTCCACAAGAAAGAATCCCAAGGGAAGGAACTAAAGTGCTAAAAGTGTGATAGGATTAAGGTAATGACCTTATCATAACTTTTTCTTAATTTTTCTTCTACCATATGAGATGTATATCATATGGAGAACCCTTGAGGTTGTTCCACATGCCAATAGTGTGGAATAATGGGTTGGGGAGTAATTCTAAGTCCAAGAACGGACTTAAAAGCCAAACCGACCGGTTCACCGGAAAATAACCTTTTAAGGGTTATGGGTATTGATTAAGGTTTTATGATGTTAAAACCTTGTTAGGGACTTGATATAGAGTATCTTTGAGCTTCGCCGGAGTTTCGCCGGAGTTGGTCAAAGTTGGCCGGAGTTGGTCAAAGTTCACCGGAATTAGTCCAAGTTCAACCGCGGAGCGTAGAACACGCTTAAGCTCACTTAAGGTGAGGATGACCGACTATATTGCTTATAATCTTTGGGTTAATTTCATAAGATTTCCTAAATGAATACACAATGTGATTTGCATGGATTATTAATGGTTAATAATGCCTAAATGAAATTTCTATTGATTATAAGTATAGTTTGCATAATATACAAATTTATTGAATAAATTGTGTATGTTTATATGTTATGAATATGATGGCATGATAGTAGCATCAACCACAAATTTCATTGTGATAAGTATGCTTTTAATTCATGAGAAGAAGCCATGAAAGAATAAAAGTGATATTTTGATATTAAGGTCAAACTACATATTGAATGAAGAATTACATTGAAATGAGTAAATAACTAGTATTGAAATATTAGTTGGAATTGTAGTTGAATAATGGATGAATGGATCCTAAGAAATCGAATTATAAAGAATCGGTGATTATTGAGCTGGGCTCTAGACCGATGTAGATAACGGTGATTATTGAGCTGGGCTCTAGACCGTAATAGTTATCGGTGATTATTGAGCTGGGCTCTAGACCGATGTAGATAACGGTGATTATTGAGCTGGGCTCTAGACCGTAGTAGTTATCGGTGATTATTGAGCTGGGCTCTAGACCGATGTAGATGACGGTGATTATTGAGCTGGGCTCTAGACCGTAGTAGGTAACGGTGATTATTGAGCTGGGCTCTAGACCGTGGTAAGAAATGATGAAATGACACTAAACGAATAAAGTTAATCATGAGATAATAACACCCTAGATTGAGGGTCTTGGAAATTGAAACATTGATTATACTTAGTATAGTTGTCATTGTACTTGTCAAATGCTTCCAAGTACTGACCTCCCCTTCACGGGGGAGGCCACCTCACAGTTTCAGGTAGGAGCTGAGCTTGCTACCAGTGCCCGTTGCTCCGGGTGAATTCAAGGAAGGAAGACGTGGTTCGTGCTTCCTCCGTTCCTGTTTTAAAAACATTTAAATTAATGCTCATGGATATTACATTTTGAATAATCATTTGGGGGCTTGTATGCCCATGTTTGCCAAAGTGTGGCACGAACACTTGTATTAAATGTTTCCGCTGCTTTGAATGAATATTTTACATTATGTTTGTTTATGGATGTACTATGCGTGAATGATATTCCAGACGCCTTGTATAGTATGGATGTGTTGGACTGCGGTTGACTATTCGTACTGTACGGCGGATTGTTGACGTGTCCGGTTAGGTCCGGGGCGTGACACTAGTACTTAAAAGTACTTAACACTCAAAACTTGGTGGAGGACCCTAGTACATAAAAATACTTAACACTCAAAACTTGGTGGAGGACCCTAGTACTTAAAAGTACTTAACACTCAAAACTTGGTGGAGGACCCTAGTACTTAAAAGTACTTAACACTCAAAACTTGGTGGAGGACCCTAGGACTTAAAAGTCCTTAACACTCAAACTTGGTGGAGGACCCTAGTACTTAAAAGTACTTAACACTCAAAACTTGGTGGAGGACCCTAGGACTTATGAGTCCTTAACACTCACAAACCGGTGGAGTACCCAAGGATTATGATCCTAAAACTCATAGATTATGATATTGAAATAGGGACAATGAGGAGTCCTATACACTCATAGGTATATGGGTGGGTTGGAGTTTTTAGTCAAGAATATTGACTATTACTATTTTTCCCAAATAAAACGGTGATCTACGGATCAGATATTTTCCAAGTATATATATACTAATAAGTATTTCATAACTTGGGGAAAAGACTATTTGTTTAAGTATCACCCTATGTTAATTTGGGTCTTATACTTGAAACGCTAGTTATTCTATATTTAGCCTGCCACTCGCTCGGTACTTGTACTGACCCCTTCGGGGGGCCCACCATTTTCAGGTTGAAGCTAGGGCTTGCTACTTGCACCTTTCTCACGGGTGATATCAAATCAGGAGGACGTGGTTCGTGCTTCCTTATTTTCTTTCAAACTACCGAACACTTGCTCATGGATATTTGTTTTACTATAAACTATTTTTGGGGCTTGCATGCCCATGTTGTTGGCCGATTGTGGCCCATGACTTACCGTTGAATATTTCCGCTATTCATTGGTTTAAATGTGATGTTGTTATGTATGTTTACTACTGAGTATGGATGGATTGTTTTCTCGAACGCCTTGTGTAATTAAGTGAGGTTGACTCGTGGGTGACGTCACTTAGTTATACGGCGGTTGTACACGCGCTTGGATTGCGGTCTGGGGCGTGACAATTTAAATCAAGTGCAGGAAGTTCAGAAGAAAAGATGGCAGCAGTAGATGTGGACAAGGGACAAAACTCAATGTACAAAGGAAACTTACCATAATTAGGACATTCTTTAACCAAATAAGTAGTGTTGATCCTTTCATTCGAAGCAAACATACTAGTGCATGAACATAATACACAAAAGTAGTAAAAGAAATATAAGATGTTTCATCTGGAACTATAAGCCCACAAATTCTTCCATTACAAAAAGTATGGGAATAGCATTATCAATATTTTGATCTGATTAAAAACAGAGGAACTGATTAAAAATTAAATAATTGAGTTTAGAATAGAGTTGATTAGCTAAAGTTCAGAATTCTACTCACAAGCGACATATATACAATGTTAGTATATGTTAAGTATATAATACACTACTACATGAATAAACAACTAATAAAAGAATAACAAGTACAAAGTGACAAGAGTTTCCATGAGCATAAACATGAGCTAATTGACTACTAAAACACAAACTAACTACATTAATAATACATTACATGAAGTAATTAAGCAAGAGCTTATATATTTAAAACATGTAAATATTTGCTAACATAATAGATGCAGATTAATCAAACAAAGCAGACAATGAAGAAATGAAGACGTGTATGATGAAAAAAATAGAGAGAAATAATTCAGATGTAGAGTTGAACAACACGATCTCAAGAAATTGAGCGAAAATTAGTATAAATGAATTAAGATCGATCGTTCAAATTACCTGAATTTTGAAGATGAACACTTGAAGAACAATTCAAGTATGATTCCATAAGTCGAATTCGTCCATAATTAATAGAGGATATGGACGTATTTCATCGGATTCATAGGCCGCTGTCGAATATGGAAGAATGGAAAAAATTCATAAGAATGCTGAAGAAGGAAGGCTGGTTGCGCGAAGGTTCTGCTCGTTAGCGATGTAAGGTATTTACTTTTAATAAATAGCTGAAGGGTAAAAGTGGAAAGTTAAAATCAATTAATCAAGTTTACTGAAATAGAACTAAATAGGTCGTAGGCATGGAAGAAACTTAAGCAGGTCCTATTTTTATAAAAGTGCTATGAATGGATCCCACTTGGAACAATTTTCTCAAATTATTTATATTAAAACAGTGTCAAACAATGCAAAACAGTGTTAAACATTGTCAAAATTCGAAAAAGTTTCAAAATAATAAAATTGTCAAAATAATAAATAGGGAAAACTGTCAAATAGGTCCTCAAACTTTCATAAAAAAGTCAATTAAGTCCTTCTATAGGAGACATTGTCCGGTCGTCGCGATTTGGGGCGGTTCCCGGTGGAATTTTTTTATGAAATTTTTTGAGCATCTTATTCATCAACCCTAGTTTACTCATACCAAATTTTAGCTAAAAATTTAATCGGGAGCGCATTCAAATAAATTCGAGAACGCAAAAATGCGCAGTTATCTTCAAGAATTAATTTGAATGTGTTCCCGATTAAATTTGTAACTGAAATTTGGTATGAGTAAACTAGACTTGGTGAATAAGATGCTTAAAAATTTTCATCAAAAAATTCTGCCGGGAACTTTCCCAAATCACGACGGCCGGACAAAACCTCCTATAGAAGGACTTAATTGACCTTTTTATGAAAGTTCGAGGACCTATTTGATAGTTTTTCCTAAAATTTTCCCAATAAGTTTGTTTCCCTCGATACCTGTTAGTCAAACTATTACGGGGACGGAGGTACTATTTGGCAACGACACATCTCTCTAGTACACATCGAGAAAGTTATTGACAATCGGGGCAACGGAGTCGCGTGGTGCGATACGGTCAGTCGGTCAGTCATCTGAACTCGTACAGTTCATCTTTGTATTTTATCACCTGATTCACCACGATGAGTGAAAAAAGTTTTGCGAAAGAAACTCAAGAATCCGGAGAAAGTGATTTGCGCAAAGGAGAAGAATTTGTAGCTGAAAGTCTGGAAATTTATTCTAAAAATGTAAGGAAAAATAGTCGAATAAGGGATTCAATTGATAGGATCAGTGCATTACCGGATTGCTTACTTGTTCACATCATATCTTTTCTGGGTTTGAAGAAAGCTGCTGCTACAAGTATTCTGGCTAAAAGATGGCAGTTTCTTTGGGCTGAATTGCCGAGCCTCAAATTTGAATTTGCTGATTGGGGTAAGTATGAGGTAACTAAGACTACAACTGACTTTGTGGCTTGGGTTAATAGGATCATTGCTACTCGTCGTGGACATTATCTTGAAAAGTTGATAGTTGTTTTCCATTACAAGGAATGCTTTGCTCCGGATGTTGATAACTGGCTGGAATTTGCTATAAAAAATAAGGTGAAAGAAGTTACTTTGAATACTAGCTTCAGCGAACACTACATTCTCGGTGAAATGATGTATTGTAATTCATCATTGACATCATTGTCTTTGAAAGGATGCATTTTGGTTCCTGGAAGAACAATCGAGTGGTCATCTTTGACTAAATTACAGTTATCATTTGTGGATTTGCCTCAGTCTGTAGTTGAAAAGATACTATCAGGTTGTCCAGTTTTGAATTCTTTGGATCTGAGTCATTGTTGGGGATTCACTTGCTTGGAGACCAACTCTAAAAATTTCTGTCAGCTGCGGGTGTATGAAAATGAAAACGAAGGATATCAAGGAAGTCAAGCTCTCTTGCAAATTTCATCACTCTATATAAAACAGTTAAATCTCCGGTTGTCTCCTATACGAAGACAGTTGAAGCTAAAAAACATTGCATCCCTTGTTAGTGCTAGTTTTAATTATTGTGATCCATTTAGGCATTTAACCGCTGACGATGTGAGTAATGCGAAGGAAGTTTTTGAAAAGATTGAGCATGTCAAGGAGCTTGATTTGGGGCCTGGACCTGTTAAGGTGTGTACGATTCTTCTAGCTTCTTTGACATTCTTGTGTTACAAAAATTAAAATCAAATGATCTTCCTGACGAACTTTTAAGAAATGTCTGTGGAATTCATCTATGTTGTCTGAATGTGATCGTTCATTGGATATTTGTATATCTAAAATTTAATACTTGGCTGCTCATTGTTTTCAAAAGCAAACCTGATTATGAACCTGCTGTGTTGTTATTCTTCTACAAACATGGGGTTATACTGATAATAGGGCTGATAAACCACGTGGACAAATATGTCTCTCTTTTTCCTGTTTAGACTTATGAGAGAAAATACATTTAAATGAGGAAAACGGATTCAGAAGACAACATTATCTAAAGCCAAACCTGAGGAATAGATTAATATTCAAAAGTTATTTTCAGTGTTAGATGTATAAATGCAGATCTATCTCATCTTGTACTAGCTTCATCTTGTTTCGAGGTTCCCATTAAAAATGTCACGCTTTACGGGCAATAATTAAATAATGCAATTTGAGTAGAATTTGAAAAAGTTTCGCTGCGTATATATTATCATAAGATAATTGGTGGTAATGATTTTGTTCTGTGTATTGTTAATTTTACTATTGGATGATAAAATTGTCATTTAGAGAGTTAATTATTTCCGATAACGGAAATAGGATCCTTGATATATGATGCCCGAAAGAGGCAAGTGAAAACCTTTGGAGGGAACATATTTTATGTATCTATAAATAAAAGAGTTAATTTTTCTACATGTATACTAGGCTCTAGCTGGGTTGGTGCTTACTGGTTGGCTATTTCCAAAATATAAGCTAAGGTGGTTGAAAATGGAATTGTTACGTAATGCTTCAAAATCCATACCTGGCATCTTGGGTCTGCTGGAATCTTCACCAGACATTGAGACATTGGTCATAGGTGCTAAAGTCCCATTTAGAGTAAGTATTAATTATTGACATCATGTTTTTTTGGTATGAAATATGAATATTATCTAATCTGGTTTCAGGTAATTATATTTGCTCTGTACTTGTAATATTTTATGATAAATTCTGTGTTTTCTCCACATGATTAAGGCTTGTCTTAAATTTGCTATGATTCCAGTTGGACCATGACTGGGCCCCACCTGCAAAGGATAATTTGGTTTGTGACTTATTGCGCTTGAAGACGATCAAATTCATTAGCTTGGTAGATCCACAACTTGATGGTGAACCATTGCTCACTTTGGCCCGAATCCTTCTTAAGAGGACACCAGTATTAGAAGAGATGAGCGTATATATCGATTGGGAACACATAGATAACTATGTCAAGATAGAACAAACCTTGCTCAGTTACCCTAGATCCTCACCAAAGGCTGTCATCCATCTATTAAATTATTGACTTTTATGTGTTTAATTTCTCTATGTAAAGCATTTAGTATTCTCTGCCTGTTTTTTCTATTTTGCCTAACTTGCTACTAGTTGACTTTCAGTATTTGTGGTAGAAGATTATTAATGGGCATGTAAAAACAAACCTTTCCGTGCTGAATATCTTGGCACCCTTTGCTTGGTACCATTTCTTCATTAGGGGTTGGTTTGCAACTGCTTTTAAAAAAACATCTCTTAGCGTTTGGCTTTAAAAAGAGATATTACCCGAAATAGGACTAAAAAAGTTTGATAATTCCAAAAATAGGACTGACATGTTTTTATTCCCAAAATATGACCAATTACTGTCATGTTTTGGCAGTACCAGACTTCAAAAATGGCAGTATTTTCCAAATTTGACAGTAATTACTCCTATTTTGGGAATAAAAAACATGACAGTCCTATTTTGGAATTTCCAAACTATTTTAGTCCTATTTCGGGAACTTTCCCCTTTAAAAAAACACTTATTTTCTCAAACACTACAATTTTTATTTTTCTCGGCTTCTGCGTCAAAAGTGTTTTTATTTTTTCTGTTACACAAAAAACACTTATTTTACCAAACACTACCCAAATTTACTTTTCAAAATCACTTTCTTCTCAAACACTATCAACTTTTATTTAATCACTTCTCCCCATTTCATTAAAAAATACACTTTTTTAAAAGCATAAGCTGTTGCAAACAGACCCTATGTGTCATCCTATAACAATATATGGTTCTCGCCACTGATTTTTATGTATGTATCCATATATTGATAAATTAACATTAAAAAGTAGATTAATTGTCTCATCGTTGATCCTCATTGTGTATCACAATTTTTTTGTATCAATGTAAATAAAAACTAGTTCTTGATGAAAATCCAATAACTGCGTTGAAAATTATTTATCAAATTAAAATATGACATTACTCAAAAAAGTTATTTTACATCATTTTGAAACTATTAATAGATAGTGATTGTATCTATTTCGATCAGGTAGTAACTAATTTCATTATGTAGTTTTGGATGGTTTTCTCTTTTCTGATTTTCTGTTTTTTTTGTGGGTAATATATAGAGTTTTTTCCCCGAATAATGCTAATTAAACAAATAACTAGAATTCCGCCCGTGCGTTGCACGGGATGTAGTTCAAATATAAAAATCTGAGGACATGTAAAATCATGAATTCTATTGTAAAGGTTTCCAACTGTGTAACGTCAGCCTCTGATCATTGATTTTGCCGCCGCTCCAAGGTGATGGTTCAGGAGGGGGGTCAATACTTCACCTTCCTTGTTCATCTCATCTTCTCTTCCCTTCTCTGACCTCTTTCTGTCTCTTACATCATCGTTCATCATGTTTGGACCAGAACTGCCATTGTTTCTCCCAATCAAGGTTTGCATCTCCCATGATATGTTGCCTTTCGTCTACCCGCTGCTCTTTCGCTGAAGAAGCTAAACAAAAAAATCAAACACTAACGACTTAGCGTGACTCCAAATCCCTAGCTGACAACTTAGTGCGGCTCCAAAACCCTAGCGGCTCCAAAACACTAACGCACGAAGGTGGTCACTTCCGCTTTTTGAACATATGGTCTAAGTTTATTCACCAAAACCCATGTGTCATTGCATAATTCAGTGTATAATTAACCAAATTAGTTAAAAATTCGATTACATTACTAAGATAATGAAAACAACCAAATTAGCTAGTGAATCTTTGTAAATATAGTTAGATAAATTTATAAATATAACTCGAAAGAAATATTAGTTAGGCTACACTATTTACGGCAGCAATATTACGGCGTAACTGTTTTTAATATTCCATTCTATGAAAACAAATTATTTTATCTTTGAAATTAACATAGTTTTACTAAAAAAACTAAATTAATTACACTCATACAATTACTTAATAAGGATGGACACATAATGGACCTCCAGTTTTGAGCAGCTAAATATAGAACCTTAACTAAAAAACTTCCGTTCCAGTCCCCGAGTCGTACCTATTTTGATATTTGTACCTATTAGAAAACAAAACTGGTCAATCAATTTTGGTCCTGTTTTGGCATAATTGGGACTCGTTTGAACCGGTTCTTAATTCATATGAACATTTTTAGTTTGAAACATAAAATTCAGGTAACATACACTCTCTTGTTTAGGATCTGGTTCCAACCTAAATTAGCACCAAATACCATACTTTAATGTAGCAATAATTATAATTTGTAATAGTTGATACAACAAAATACTTTAGATCAAAACACCTAAATTATTCAAAAAACAAGTCGGGTTCTAATTGCTCTACCTACAAATTATAGTTATAGAACAATGACTCTAGATTATAGTTATGAAGATCTCATATGTGAATTCAACAAAGATGGTTTCTATATAAGTGATAAGTATTGTACTTTCCCATGATCTCTCTATCTTTACCCCTGAAGTTTATTTGTGGTTAATGCTTGGTTGAAAATGTAAATAATTATGCTGCTATAAATGCCATCCTGCGGAGGACACCTCTGTGCCGATTTTGGAGTTCCAACTTCCTCATATTTAAGAGATGCATCTGCAGTAATAGAATGGTTAATTACTTATCATTTCAAATGACCAACAATTAAATTTGACTGAAAATGTAAACTGTGATGAATTATTTATCATTCCAAATGACCAACAACTAAATTTGACCGAAATTATAAGCCTAATGATATACTTAAAAATCTTGAAGATAAAAAGTAAATACTTTCTGCAAACAGAGCAATCGACAACCAGGGGCGGATCTACATGTAAGTTAGAATAAATGTTATTAGCCTATTTGGTTTTACTAGGAAATTAAAACTCTACTTGGGCATCAGGTCAATACTATCGAAACCCCCCTCAGGCTACACTTGTTTTTTATTTTTTGAAGTGAATTTTGACAATAGGTGGCCGCTGGCTTCCTTTCATTTGGGAGTGGAATTTAATACTCTTTTTGACTGTATGAAATGGACTTTTTGGCCCAATACTTTTTTTTTTTTTAATTTTAAATACTCCGTATTTCTAAATTACACATTCTCCTCCATTTGCCAAACTAATTTTCTAGTTCTTTCAACAGAATATAGAATCGTTCTAGACTTTCAAAAGCAATAATTTCACTCGCTACGCCAGTTTTTAAATTATTAATTATTAGACAATATATTATTATTACTGTTGTTGTTATTGTCATTAATTATTATACATAGTAATTATTATTATTATTATAAGAAAATGTATAAAATAAAACTTGTGGATAAAAATGTGACTTGAACATAATTATAGTAAAAAAAAAGTTACTAAATCACTTTTTTATCTAGTATCTCTATTTTGATTATATATGACATATTATTTATTATTGTTGTTATTATTATCAGATTTTTATGAACTATTACTAAGATAAAAACACGTGAACAAAATTTGACTAAAGTCATAATAGGTATACTTTCATAGTTACTATCATGTTAAACTTGAACATTATAGTCATACTTTATCCAATTTCCTTATTGTGTTCATATACTATGTATATGGTATTATTTCGATTATTGTTGTTGTTAGTTTTTTTAACATCTGGAAATTATGTTCTCTAATGTCTCAATTTATTTCGTGTGTAAACCACCAAGTGTAGGCTTACTATATCTAGCCTATGTTATGCTCCGAATTCTATTTAGCCTTTAACGTTCACTTGTAGTGTATATATGTGCATACACTGACCTCTGATGCCTAGGTCCGCCACTGTCGACAACATACGTAATAATCGTGAACAACTAATATAAAACAGAACAAGGAAACAATATTTTATTATTCAATGTCAAACTTGTGTACAACCGAGATGCCAAGAGGAGCTAATATACTTAAGTGGCATAACAATAAAAGGAAAGGCAATATTACACATTATTGCAAAATAAGTGCTATGACAAAAAATGATTGTCCCCATAAATAGTTAGTCCGTATAATACCCCCCTCAAGTTGGAGCATGAGGATCGATAATGCCCAACTTGCGAAGTAGATAATGGAACTGAGTCTTGCCAAGGGCTTTAGTGAAAATATCGGCAAGCTGAACAGTAGTAGGGACATAGCTAGGAGCAATAAAACCGTCTTTGATAGCATCTCGGACAAAGTGACAATCGACTTCAATATGCTTTGTGCGCTCGTGAAAGACGGGATTACGAGCGATATGTAATGCAGCCTGACTGTCACAAAAGAGAGGAATAGCCTTGGGGTGCTAAATACCAAGACTCAAAAGCAGGGCCTTTAACCATTTGAGTTCACATGTGGCTGCAGCAATGGCACGATACTCAGCTTCAGCAGATGATCGTGACACAGTAGATTGCTTTTTAGTCTTCCAGGAGACGGGTGAATGTCCCGGAAAAACCAACCATCCTGATAGAGAACGGCGTGTGATGGGGCAAGCAGCCCAATCTGAATCACACCATCCTGTTAAAGATAAATCACTGTCAGCCCGAAGTAGGATCCCTTGTCCAGGAGAGCCTTTAAGATAGCGGACGACACGAAGAGCAGCATCCCAGTGGGCCTGACATGGAAACTGCATAAATTGAGACAGAATGTGCACGGAGTATGCCAGATCAGGGCGAGTAACAGCCAGATAAATGAGTCGTTCAAGTAAGCGACGATAAGGTTCAGGATCAGAAAGTAGAGGTCCTTCATTTTTGGCAAGAGAGTGATTTTGATCAATAGGAAAAGCAGCCAGTTTGGCACCCAAAAGACCAATTTCAGTTAGAATATCCATAATGTATTTTCTCTGAGTAAGAAATAAGCCAGATGGACTTTGCGCTACTTCAATACCAAGAAAGTAGCGAAGTGTTCCCAAATCTTTCATATGAAAACAAGTACTAAGGTATTGTTTAAAATGAAGAATAGCCTCCTGGTCATTACCAGAAATAATCAAGTCGTCAACATATACCAGAACATTCAGCTGAACGGATCCCCGAGTCCGAGTGAATAAAGAATAATCAGCATATGATTGAATAAAACCATAGGCACGAAGAGCCCCAACTAATTTTGCAAACCAACAACGAGGGGCTTGTTTCAAGCCATAGAGAGATTTATGTAGACGACATACAAGTGTCGGATCAGATGTAGTGTACCCTGGAGGAATCTGCATATAGACTTCTTCATCTAAATCCCCATGCAGAAAAGCATTATGAACATCCATCTGGTGA